CGGTGCCCCAACCCCCAATCAGCCCTACCCTGAGCGTGACTAGGGGTGGCATCACAACCTCCTGATCCGCCTTGCTCTGTGCATGACAGGGGGTGGCACCCCAACTCCCCAATCAGCCCTGCTCTGAGCCCGACCAGGGGCTGCACCTAGGGATTGGGCCTGCCCTCTGCCACCCGGGAGCAGGCCTAAGCCAGCAGGTCGTTATCTCCCGAGGGGTCCCAGACTGCGAGAGGGCACAGGCAGGGCTGAGGGATCCCCCCGTCCCCCTGAGTGCACAAATTTTTGTGCACCGGGCCTCTAGTATACTATATTCTTACAATAAAGTAAGTCAGAGAAAAGATAATGCTATTAAGAAAATCATAGGAAGAGAAATCATATACACATAATTTATGTATTCATGACATAGCTCATTCTTTCTTATTTTAAAAAATATTTCTAGCCCTGACCTGTTTGGCTCAGTGGATAGAGTGTCGGCCTGTAGACTGAAGGGTCCTGGATTCAATTCTGGTCAAGGGCATGTACCTTGGTTGCAGGCACATCCCTGGTGGGGGTGTGCTGGAGGCAGCTGATTGATGTTCCTCTCTCATCGATGTTTTTAACTCTCTATCCTTCTCCCTTCCTCTCTGTAAAAAAAAATCAATAAAATATATTTTAAAAATATTTCTAGGCTATAATGTTCATCAGGGCTATAATGTTCTTTAAATTGCCACAAATATCCAAAAAGTTTTCCTATACATTTATTGAAAAAAATCTACATATAAGTGGATCCATACAGTTTAAACCCATGTTGTTCAAGAGTCAACTATATATTAATCTATATAAAATCTGTACAGCACACAATAAGTATGTAATATACTAGTATATTACCTACTATTATAACATTTTGCTTATTTCCTCTGACACGAATGAATGCGTCATTTAGTTTGCTAATATGGTTAATATGCCAGATTCAGGTATGGACTTTCTTAAAGTATAAGAAGCATTTCCAGTCTGGTTTGATGTAAGGTCATTTGTGTCTTCATTTCACAGGAGAAAATGAATAAATAAAATCCTCCAAGTAATCAAGCCTACTTTATGACTTCCACATCATGATGTTATAGCTATAGCTATATCTTCAGTTTATAACAAAGAATTACCTTACCTTGCTGCTCATTGCCTCACATATATAATTTCCAGGGGGACCTCAAAGATAAGAGCTGAGGGCACATTTCAAATGTGTTAGCTTCAGCTACCCCCAACTTATACAATTATCTTTATAATTTCACCCTCAAAGAAAGCCAGAGAGGAGGGAAATCAATTTCATGTGCCCATGTACACCATGAAATTGATCAATATATGTGGGAACATATGAATTTATTTTGAGAAGAGGGTCCTTTGCATAAGTCGCTAACAGAAATCTGTGACCGCCAGAAGTTTAAGATATACTGCACTACTATCTCCTCTAGGCTAAAAGTATGGAAAGAATTGGCATATTTTCTTAGGTGAAGTGATGGAGGACTGGTGCTAATAAAACTGAAGAAAACATTTTCTTTCCCTAAGGGGCAGAAGCGTCAACAGTTTGTACCATTAAACCCATGAAATTCAGAAGGCTGGCATCCAAATCCTGTGACATGAGGTCCAAGTGTTTATTATTCCTATAATTCAAATAAATACCACTCTTCTTTGGTTAAATATTTTACCAGAGACTGGGCAATTGGAAAAGGAAATATTTTCTGGAAGTTTCCACCTTTTTGATCCCACATACCTCTGATTTTGTGATGCAAATAAGAAATGAGTGAGGCAATTACACCTATTGAAAGCAGGATTATTATGATGCCCACTACTATAGGGTTTCTCATTTTGCGGAGGCAATCTAAAGAAAAACAGATATAATAATCATTGGTTATTGCTGTGGAGGTACTTTGGATTGGGGGAAAATGCACCAAGAAAGAAAGAGCTAAATTTTAATGCCATCTCTCTGTATTAATTTAGAATAGGACTAGGGGAAAATAAAAGAATGGACTAAGATGCAGTCTAAAGGATCTAAAGGACCTAAAGGTTCTAAAGGCTTAGGTCTAAAGGTGCTGATGACCAGGACACGAAGCATAGCTGTTTCCAGGATGGGACAGGTTTTTGGCTGAGGCTACATAGACCTGGAGAAAAGCAACTCATTTTTCTTTTTCTCCATCCGGCCCATCAATCAATGTGCATGAGACAACTGTTGTGCACTGGTCATTAACATTTTACCCAGATTTGAAAGAGGCCAGAAGGAGAGCTCTGGAGACCTCTGTGTAAGAATCTCATGCAGCAAAGGGTGTCAGACAACATATTGTTTAAAATCAGATTTTATATCTATATATCTATAACTATATCATTATAGTATCATGGGCTATCTAGTCTTCCCATGAAAATCTTCTATGGTGTGGGAGCTCACTACCACGGGTGGTGCCCATTCTTTTGCTGGAAAGTTATAGGCACAGTTTTACTTAGTGGTTAAATTATAACATACAAAGATTCATGAGCAATATGGTGGCATAACAAGTCCTTTGTTTTTGACTCCCCCATCAACAATAACATTTGGCACCCATCTACAACAGGAAGTGGGATCTGTGGGACACAGGGCCATACACCAAGGCACCTAGAAGGAATCTTGCCTACCTGTGCATCCATTAGGCAGACAGTCTTTGGTACAGACTCTGGAACACACAGAAGATCCATTCTGCTGTAGTTCTGAAACACATGTAAAACATGGACTTAAGCGGTTAGCTACCTAAGAGAGAGCCTTGTGGGAGTCCAGGTTTCCAGAGAAGAAGTTCCAGCACTCTATTGGAGCAAAAAAAATGTGGATGCATTGGAGTGCATAAGAGGACCAGCTCACCGCCTCTCCAAGTAAGACCAGCTTAGGGCTAAAAGAGATGGCTGTGATTTTTTCCCTTGGGTGATGGGAAAGCCAATGAGTAAATGCCTGGCTTTCCCAGCTGTACAGGAGGCTTCCAAAGAGACTCATTTATCTCTCAGAGTATCTATTATATTCAACGGGAAGCTCCATGAGTGGGGGAATGGAGGAAGGAGCAGATCAGAAGACTGCATATAAGATTTACGGAGGGTATTAATGGGATATTGTTCTTGCTGAATGCATTCTGGATTCCCATCAAGAAGCCTGCCTATGAGCTATGGGGAAGGCCTAACCCAAGGATCTTCCAAATTGGCCTGCCGCATGCCCAGCACACCACATGCCAAATCCACACCTCCCTCCACTTTGTGGCTGGCTCCCTGTTCCTGCAGTGAGAGCAAGTACTAGTAGATAAGGAGCATGAGCAGAAAGTGGGCCAGGATGTGTGAGATAGTGAGAACTGTATAGCCACCTTCAGGAAAACAAGAGAGACAGAGTAGCCAGCATTGTGTGCTGTAAAATCAAGAGAAGATATACAAGCTGAAGAATCCTGCCATAAAAGGGTGCAAGTGTGGAGCAGGTATATCCATACAAGGTCTGAGAGAGCCTCAGAATCTACAGCAGTTGCAGTCATGCACCTGATAAGGGGTTAATATCCAAACTATACAAGGAATTCAAACAACTCAATAGAAAAGAATCCATTTTAAAAATGGGCAGAGGATCTGAATAAACATTTTTTTTCAAAGAAGACATACAGATAATCAACACATACATGAAAAGATGCTCAGCATCACTGATCAACAGGGAAATGCAAATCAAAATCACAAGGAGTTATTGCCTCATACCTGTTAGAATGGCTATTATTAAACGACAAGCAATAGCAAATGCGGACGAAAAAGGGCCACATGCTAACCTGATGAACTCACGGAAGGCCTGCATGGCGGCCTTGCAAACTCAGAGAACTAAAATAACCACAAAGGATGGTCTGAAATTAAAACTATTTAAACTAAAAAGCAGTTTATGGTGGGTAGTCATGTCCTTGGCCGGTATCTTCCCTGACAAAGGTCAATCTTAACCTTAAGTGAGCCTGTCTATTGTCTTTTTGCATCTACGATAACATACCTTTGGAATGTCAAAGTAATTTTACTTTTTTTGGACCCCTCAAAGCACAGGCACTGCTCTGTGGACACCAAAAATCCCCTCAGTGTTATTAACTATTGATTGTTAACTATCCTGTACTCACTTATGTAAAAGAAGTATGTGTCTCTCATTTACTTTTTATCCAATCCCAGAGGTTTCCCTAATCTCTCATCAATGGATTTCATGTACCCAATTGCTTCTCCTCTTTTTATTGTAATGTATAAAACAGTGTGCAAAACTGCCGTTCTCCAGAGCATTATCTCAATCCATTGAGATTCTGCTTCCTGGCAACTGTCGACACTTGGCTCAAATAAACTCACAAAAAATTCTTCACAGGTTTGAATGTTTCTTACTTTAACACAAGAGTTGACCAGGATGTAGAGAAAAGGGAAGCCTTTTACAGTGTTGGTGGGAATCTAAATTGATATGGCCACTATTGGAAACAGTATGGAGGTTCCTCAAATATTAAAACTAGGAATACCATATGATCCAGCAATTCAACTTCTGGGTACAGACATGTGCCATATATAAAGACACTTAAGTCAACAACAAGCCATCTATATGACCATAGTCCCATCTATATATATAAAAGCCTAAGCGACTATCTGACCATTCAACCGTTTGCCTGGTAGCTATGATGTACAATGACCACCAAGGGGCAGATGCTTTGACTAGTAGAGAGGGAAACCCAATTCCTCACGGAATCAGTTGTGGGTTAGGTTGCTGCTGGGGCACTGTTGCCCCAAATCTGCTTCACTCGCACCCCAGACTCGGAGATCGGTTTTGGCCAGATCCCTGCAGACCAGGCCAAGGGACCCCACCATTGCACAAATTTGTGCGCCCGGCCTCTAGTAAGATTATAATGGAACTGAAAGTTTTCTATCTCATAGTTATGTCTTAGCCATCATAATGTGGCAGCACAATGCATTACATAAACACTTACCAGTGTGTTGTACAGTTGCCATCAGTATTCAATAGAGTAACATGCTGTACAGATTTATAGCCTAGCAGCTGTAGGGGAACAGAATGTGTCACCCTCCAAATATGTCTATTTGGCATAAGAATTATTTTAGGCTGGTTAATTTTAAGAGACAGCAGACCTGGAAGAAGCTCTGAAAACCAAGCAGAAGATACCCTTTATAAAATGGATTTACATTTGCAAGAAAAAATCTCCATTTGTAAGGGTGTCTTCCTGGTTGTACTGGGAAAAGGGGGATGGCCTTATCTCTAGAAATGCTTATCAGAGCAGAAGAAAGTGACTTAAATATGCATCACAATTTTATCCTTGCTTACTGTGATTTTCTGGTAACCCCAATCCACCCCCAAATC